CGTAAAAACCTCTTTTAAGAATTCGCCTTGAGTCGTCTACTTATTCATTCACTTACCTATTCATAATTGAATTCTATTACGTAAGTTATTATCAATGAAAAAGATGTCCGTTAAACAGGTCGAGCAAACGGTCGCGTTATATTAATAAATTAAATAAACCGATCGATTATTAGCTTGTAAAATTATTTTATGCAAATTAGGCACGTATTACACTATTAAATATGTGATCATATGTTTATTTTAAAGTTGTAATTACCGAACATTTTGCTCCGCATAAAAGCGTTTTTAATTTTAAACACACACAACAATAAACGACAAGTTGTTCATATTGAAAATATTTGATTTACGACTAGCATTTGTCCACAACTTTGTCTGCGTGACTGAGATTGCAGAGGTAAATTAATATATGAACCTATACTCTTCTCCATTCTATATGGTATGTATATATTTAGTATTATATTATAATATTATAGTATATATAATTTTATAGTATTATAATATTAGTTATTATACTTTTGCACACGTTAACATATATCTACAGGGCGGACATAATGCCCGATGGCATTCTCTACCAGTCAACCGTAACACTAAACAGAAAGAGTAAATGTGTATTCGTATACGAAAATTCAAGTTTATTGAGTCGTTAAAGGGTCAAAAAGTGACAAACAAACAATAAACACACTCACATTTATAATATTAACTAACTATTGTCCTTGACTTAGCACGCGTAATGTCGTGTTTTCCATGTTATAATTTTCAAAAATGCTTTCTTACCTAATAATAAATCTATGTTTTAAATTTAAATTGCCTAGGCTTAGTAATATTTGCTGTGCACTCATAGCCAGTCAAAAGAAATTATTTTATAAGAATTGATAGTGATTAATTACGCCTAATCGCGTAAAATTGCTATAATAAAAATACAGACCAATTGAAAACCTCATATGTAAATTTGTTATTTTGTAAAATTAAAAACTTTATTAAATTACAATTCTGTAGTACACAAATTTATTTGTATACCTTTTTTTCTTGCCTGACGCATAAAAAGTGAGTTAAATTGGTTGTTAAATATAAATTGATATTATATAGTTTTAGATATGATCATATACATTTGATAGTGTAAAAAGGCCTTCAAACCATAGATCGCTAATATTACATAGAAGGTGTAAAATTATTTTTTTAAAAGGCAGTAGTCAAACCAGTCGATGAAGATGAAAAAAAAATTTTTTTGAGTGATTCCACCTTATCTGTCCACATTGTTTATAGTTCAAGGTCACTGAATATGAATATATATTCATATACATACTTATAAAATAAAAGTCTTATTTTATACATTTTTAACTGATGGAAATTATTAAATATTTTATTAATGGAATGGTAACCCTATCTGTTCTATTGGTCGGGTTTCCAATACACTTTAATTTCGACGACAGCTGAAGATGAAGACAGGATTTTTTTAATAGGTGATAATAGAATGGTAACCCAGCATGCTTTATTTGTATACGCTGGCAGGGCACCAGTGAGGAAGAATAGGTAAGGATGAGAGCAGGTCAGTCAGCGCATGGTAACGAATTCTACAAGAATTAACCACGATGGTTTCCAGGGGCAACCGTGTAGAGGTCGACCTGACAGATTGTATTGCTAGAAATGGGACTGTTACATCCCATTACTTACAATTCCTTTCCCCTAATGAAGTTAAATCAATTAGCCTATTGTAACTTTCACTAGGAATTAACTACAATAGTTTTCAGGGCAGATCTCGTGAATCTTAGAGCTGGTAAGGACAGAGATAGAGAGGTAGTTGCATTTTTTTTTATTCTTTTTTGTTTATTCAACTTAGAATGGCAAACAAGCTGACGACCCACCTGATGGAAAGTGGTAACCGTCGCCTATAGACATGAGCAGTATCATGGACATAACAGAGTATGTTTCATTTCATTTTCACTACCATCGTAGTAACCGTTACTTGTCCACTGCTGAACATAGGTAACTCTGTATTGGGGATCCAGTTCCTTCAGTCGTCTCTTACGACACCCACAGAAATGAAACGATGGCCTATTGTATTTCGGGACCATACGGCTATATTTCTACTTGTATTAAAAATAGATTTTTTATTTCATATTTATATATTTATACATTTATCAGTAATTCATTATTTGGTGATCATAGACCTCCACCATAGACTGCCATAAGAACTGCCATAGGACTGCTATAAGGAACAGTCCCGATTGAAAGGACTGAAGCTATTTCTTCCTGCTATGGTAACAGTACTTACATTTCTTTTTATGGGTGAAAATGGTATGGTAACCCCGCCTGCGCTAACGGGATACGCTGGCGGAGCATCAGTGAAGGGTGATAGATGAGAATGAAAACAGACTAGTTAGCCCATCATGATGAATTCATCAGGAATTAACCATGATAGTTTCCATGGGGAACCGCAAGGAGGTCGACCTGTTAGGGTATATTGCTAGCAATGGGATTCTTAGTCTCCATTACTAACAATCCCTTTCCCCTCCAGTACTTACATTAAATTATTATTACTTTTAATGTGAACGCAAATTAAATTTTCTTTAGTTTCAATTATTAAGAAAATGAAGTACCTAAGTAGGTTACTTATATTACAAATGTCGTTTATCTAAATTTTTGCATTACCTACTTGTTTACATTATAACGCAATCAGATATGTTGTTTATCAGCAATTACTGAAACGAGTTGTAAAATTATATTTATTCTGAGTAATTTCAAACAACTTGTTCTACTTGAACCAAGATGCTAATACGTAATTTAGTAAATATAATGATAAGTCAGTAATTTTATATAGGTATTAGATATGTATGTAGTAATTTGTATGCTGAAAATTTTGTTATGCAACTTAGAATGACAAAAAATCTGACGATCTACCAGGAAAGTGGTACTTCATCGTAGTGGTAGTCTTAATCTTGGTTTGAACAAATATTAGAAATATACATTTTAATCAAAATTTAGAATAGTTTACCTACTTATTAGGGGGAAAACGAATTGTTATTAATGCGGACTACAAATCCTATTGCTAGCAATTTACCCTGTCAGATCAACCTCCACATCGTCCCCCCCCTGGAAACCATCGTGCTGAATTCCAGGTGTATTCATCACGATAGGCTAACTGGCCTTCCTTTTCATACTCATCTACCATCCTTTACTGGCGCTTCATCAACGTATACCGTTAGTGCGGATGAGGGTACCATTCCATTATCATCCATAAAAAAAAATAAAGAAAACAAAAATCCACTTAATCAATGTTGATATATCAATGAAAATCGACACTGAATATTTTGAATATGTTAAAGTACATAGATAAAGGATAAACTGTAACTGGTGTTCAGGAAAAAAGGTCTTAAAATTTTAAAGCCCTGTAGAAAAAAATATCTCCAATTGGTGCAGCTATTCTCAAACAATAAATGTAACAACGAACAATATTTAGATAATGTAACATAGTCAATTTATTTATCCAAGTACATATCAAATTCATTCCAACGTAATCGATTTATTTTGATTTGTGGTTTGTTGCGTTAAATCATTCAAAAGGATTAAATTTATCCAATAACATGAAGTCTATATCTGTTTTCTGACATTTAATGTAATTGGAGTGGGCACTTTGCTATTCTAAAGAAACGAATGACTTCACTATGCCACCTGGAATTTTGAGAGGCGAACAAACGACCTCGACATAACCGTTGAGTTCTAATCAATATACATCAAAACCATCATAGATCCGCGATCTTGTAGGCTAGTTTACGGAACCACCTGTATCTGGTTTTTACTAGTTTTCACTGGAAAAATAATGTTAGGCCATAAAACATTGTGATTTGCCATTATGATATCTATCTTTAATGCGACTTCAAAATCAGGACGTTCTCAATTTGCTTCTATTTCTGTATGTTTATTAATTCTCTTCACCAATTCTGAAATTATTCTAAAAATTATTTATGAAATTCATAGAGTTTACTCCTGAGGTATCATATTAATGTTGTCATGTTTGTATCTTTTTTTTTAACAAACTTACGATATTAGCTTCTGCTTTGTAATGCTAAGTTTTTTAAATAAGGAATATTTGGAAACAGTCAGCTTCTGATTACTATATTCATATAATCACAATTAAAACATGTAACATAACCTCGCGTTTCTTATTTTACTTGTAAATACGTAGTAATCACTTCGAAATGTCAAATAATAGGTTAATTACGTAAGGTTTATGTTAAGTATGTTTGTTTAGCTTATTTATTATTATTATTATTAGCCGTTAACTATCCACGGCTGGACATAGGTCTCCCCCATAAGGAAGGTTTTACTAATAGTTGTCACGCTTGGCTGACGGGTTGGCAACCTATCCCTCAACCATTACATTCTCTTAGTCGCCTCTTACGATACCCACGGAACAGAAAGTGTTGTATGGTTTACTTAATTAAAATTTTTGTCATAATAATATTAAATAAAAAATCTCTGTGACTGATTTTCTAGAAACATGGGTCAGTTACTATGTTTGGTAATATGCATATATACGAATATGTAACAGCGAATCCACGGACAGGTACCGGTGGTAACGATCATTTGCCACAATTTGACACAGTGCTGCGCCGTAATTGAGTTTCGGAATGATTAGATTGAATTGCAAGTCAATTTCTGGTTAACAGCCATGTGTGTTACACATAATTGTATTGCAAAGCGTTGATTTGTTAATTACATATTCGATATTCAATTTTAGTGAGACGTATGTATTTTTTATTCGATAGAATGACATTGTGAAACTTAATTCTACTTATAATAAATGTTTCAAATACAGTGATTAAAAATAATATAATAAAATCAATGAATCATCATAAAATTAATAGATAATTACCATCATCATCATTATCTTTCTGTCGTTACCCCTATTACTTAGGGTCGGCGTTATCATATTACAAGTAATAAATATTTATAATAGATTATTGTTGAAAATATTTAAAAAAAAAAAACGTTTTTCACAGTGATGTACCACAACTGAGGCATGGGCCAAACGGACGAGGTGCGCACCCGCGAGCGAGCGAGCCCCCGGCGACGCTCCCCGGACCTGCCACCGCTGCCGCCTCCGATACAGCCCTGTAGCGGCTTCCTCGGCAACGTGAGTAATTAGTAGATAGATGTCCATATATATATTTCTTGTTATATTATTCTTTACAGAAAAATGAGAGTACCCTTTTTAATACGTTGTAACTTGTAATTTTCTAAACAGGGAAACTTACTATGTTAAGTCGTAAGTCGTACAAAGATGGCACCGTTTATATGTCTATTGCAGTCCTGCCTCATATAGAAGAAGAAAAAACGTTTGTATGAAACCTATGCAATCAGATCATTGAATTTCAAAATAATTAATAGTAATAAATTGTATACTTCAGGTCTAAATTTTAAGTGATACTTATAATAATTAATACCAATATATTGCATAGAAGTATAATATTATTAATAATACTTTATATAATAAATTTCCATTTATTTTATTGTGTTAATACTTCTAGATTGTTGCATAGATTAATTTTCTAATTTCTTCAATATAAGTACAGTGTCGACTCTTAAATCACAATGATATTAAATACTCTTTGCTAGCAAAAAGTGATAAAATAAACCATAACGGCGGGAAAATATTTTTTTTAATTGTTCGCATACACACACACTAAATCATAGATTGAGTTTGTTTACGTTATAACTTGGATTATATAGAATTCTCAAATTCGCTGACTCGTTTTTTTATCAGTATTCTATATATTTAGGCACAGAATTGCATATACATTGACATATTTATATTTAATTATTTAATAAATAAAATGAGTTTTTTCGCATTAAAAATATGTAAAATTATAAGACAAATTAAACATAGGAGCTATAAAGGAAACACTTATATTTATATATCACGAAAAATTTTATGAAAAAATTGTCCCGCTTTTCTCGAAGCATTTGTATAGAGACAATTTATCTATATAATCTAAGGTTATAACCCAATGACATAAAACTTCCTCATTATCATATACGAATAATTTTTTAATAAAGAAAAGTAAATGTTAGTAGTATGTTTATGTTTTTTTTTTTTTTATTTAAGTAAATTATTTAATAATTATAAAAAACTATTCAAGTAGGAATTGGATTCACAAACCGAGAACTCTATACATAAACAAATCCGAAAACGGGTTATTTTTTTAGATAAGAATTTATTTTTGTATTTCTTATTATTTTTAATTTATTGTTGTTTTTTAAATTACTATTTCCTTATTATGGGCCATAAAACCGTTTGATTCTGAAGGTTTTTTCAAAATTTAAAAGGTGAAATAATCAAATCTGAATAAATAACTAAAATGTCCTCACGTATAATGATATTATTCATTTGAAGGCTATCCGGGCACTTAACCGAAGTTAAAATGGAGATAGGGTCAGAGTTTAATCATTCTAGAACGAGTCAGTAACATAATATACACTCGTAATGTTATATTGATTTTATTCAAATTTATGTTTTATAGGTTACAAATTGCTGATTATATAATTATATGGCATGAAAAAATATTTTGCAAGACATGTCACTACCTGTCAATTCAGATGTAGGTATAATAACTCTTTAAATTCATGGAAGATTTTTACATTGGATTCCCAATAGTAAAGGAAAGAATAAAGCTTTCTGTATAGAAAAAAAAAAACTAGTACAAAATTATAATCTGCTCATTTTTTGAGTCGTTAAAATTTATTAGGTATTTTTTTTATAATTATTTTTCTTCATTAAATAATAACGTTTTAAATATAAACAAACATAACATGTCAACTCTTTCTCAATTGAGAAATCAATTTTATTTAAAACCGAATAATCACCCACGTGGAACATAATAGAAATTAGGTAAACTATGCACGCCGTATCGAATTTGTTTCTATCTATCGGCTAAACGTTTCATATTTTATTTTAATATCGACGGCGCGACACTAATCTATGTAACGATAATGTCACCGGTCTCGCGGCACTGTAGGGGCACGTTCCATTTCACACGCCAGTTTACCGAGCATTAACATAAAATTAAGCAACTGCAGACCATCCGTCTTGCTTCGCCGACTTTCCTCGACTTATCGGCCGGCCAGTTTAAAAGCTTTAACGGTATCGCGACGAAAGTGATGCGTAAATCAAAACGGATCGAAGACGACCCGGCCTTGTCTCTTACGAAACGGGTTAATAAGCTGACGTGATTGATGGAGCCGCGGGATTGCGGGAGACGAAATGAGTCGAATGACAATCCGTAAATCCTCTTACCATGTGCGTAACGGTATCCAACACTTATGTAATCGTAAGTCATCCACGGAGTTCCACTTATTACGAGTCTACAGCGTATAATCTGATTCTATAACGATTCGCTAAAACCCCATCGTTGTTAGGTATCACAAATCGCAGCAATTTATGCAGGGACCGGAGTGCGCTGGCGGCGAAACGCAACAGATTATGCGAGAGCGCAATCTCCTTACCGCCATAAATTGCTCAGGATGGTTCCCTCAGTGAGCTTTACGCTCTTATTAGGTGCAATCTGATGTTATGACAGTAACTTCAGGGCTAGCGAGTATAAATAAAAACAAACACGATGGCACAGTTTCTTCTATACTTTGTGCGTCTACGAGATGGCAGCTTGACACTTGATTACCTATCTATAGTTTTGTAGTATAGAGAATAGTTGTTGATATAGAGTACCAATTAGAACGTATTCTCCGGTATCGTATATTTGCATTCTGCATTTATTGTAGAGAAGTTGTGTAAGTTAAGCAACGTGCTACGTGTCGGCTTATTTACCGGAGGCACTAATTGGCAAAGCCCCATTACCGTTACTCACACAAGCATATTTCGCGGATGCATCGTGCCGAACCGTGACCGAGTTCAGGTCCATACTATTTATTTTTAAACTCATTAAATTAACTGTCTTAAACTTTCAACACGTGCCGTGGTTATGTAGGCAGCCGAAAATAAAATCTTTAAAGCAGAAACCTCTGAAAGGCAGTACGTTTTATTTATTTATGATTATGCATCGATACTTTGGTAATATGACTCATATAATATTCGAAATGCATTGTCGTAGGTACATCCTCATGACTAAGTGCGCAGCGTGTGAGATTTATTTCCATCTATCCATTCGCTTTTAAATTATCAAGTAAGACTCATACGATAAAAAGACAACGAACAATCTCTAAGTTTTATATCAGCGCATTGTGAGTGCGCGGACAGGACACTATTTGCCAGGCAAGCCTTTCCCGCTCCATACAAAGTTACAATGGTCTATATGCTCGCATTTTATTATTGTTCCCGTAGTGTCAATTTTAGAATGTAGGTGGCTCCTTTTACGGTCTTTGTTCGTTGCCGATGTTTAAGGCAAGAATGAAGGGGGCATTATTTCCCAGTTATATTGGTAGACAATGCGGGACTGTGCACGCCTGACCTCTGAACGGCGCGAGATTATACTTATTTGCTTTTTATTTTTATAGAAAACAGCGGTACGACGGTACGGTCTATTATCTGTGGTCCGGTGCACGTTCACAGAGCAGGATGTCGAGCAACAAGAAACGAGCCAAGTCTAGTCGCAACGAACTTTTTGTGTAATAATCTGCGGATGTATTAATATTCTCTTAGTTTATGCGATACACTATCTCCTATATAATTTTTCTTTGTCAGCCGGTTCGATAGGAAATTACCGGATGGCCGGAGATAAATCACTAGACACTAAATTAACACGTAGAAATCCATGGCAAATTATTTATAACTTTAGTTATATCAGTGGAAGTTAACAGGTAAACGTTTTCGTTCCACTTAGAATGTGGAGCATCGTGCAAGAGGCCATATTTCTTGTGCTGAGTGCGTGGGTGTGGAGGCGAGTGCCTGCGCCACCAACCTGCACCATTCTATTACAAATGTAGCTGAATAGCAACTAATTTGGAGAACGATTTTGAGTCGGGTATCTTTAATTTCATGCGTTTCGCCACGCTTGTCTCGAGAAAAATCGAATTAATATATATGGTGATTCATTCAGTTTCACTCGCAGTTTTGGTGATGAGATTAAATTTGCGGATTGAAACTACATCAAATTAGTAATGGAAAATAAATAAGTTTAATATATCAATCAATACATATAATAGAATCGTAACTGGTCGCTGTCTGTACATGAAAGATATATAAGAAAAACTATTATTGGAGGGCTTTATGGGAGCAATAGAACACGAAGTAATTATTTTTAGAATTTTTGTCTGTTTGTCTGTACGTTTGTGCACGCTAATCTCTGAAATAGTTTAATTGATTTAAATGTGATTTTCATTAATGTGTTGCGATTTGCTCCACTTAACACTTAGTGTTTGATTTATTTCAATCGGTTCATAAATACAAAAGTTACACAAATTTAAAGAATCACATATAAAATGCTATAAAATAACCGTTCAGTTAAATTGGCTGAAACTTTATTAAGGTATTTGGTACGTAATTATCATTTAAGTGTATAATACAATATAATACCGGATTCTTGAAGAGTTTCAATAGGATTAACATACGGGAATTACATAATTAGAAGCGAACAACGCCGCGAGTAACAGCTAGCATTAAATATAGCAATATTGCTGTTTATAAATAGGTAATAAATAAGCAATTAAATAATAGTACAAACGTTCGCATTTATAATATTAATTTATATTATAAATGCGAATGTATGTAGGGATAGATAGATTAATGGATATTTTATACTCGTATATAGGTTTTCCCTGGGGACTACAGTATGGAGTTTATTAAGTGTGTTAAGTAGTAAAAGTGTGTATTAAAGTTTTTTCAAGGTCGATAAAACGCACGTGACACCCCTAGTGTTGCAGGCGTATATAGCTTACGGTAGCCATTCACCACCAGACGTGCTATATGCTTGTTTGCCACATTCGTGGTAAAAAAAAACAACAACAAAAAACGTATAACGTATCTTTAAAGATCATTGGGTGGGACTGTCAGTATAAGTATAGTTGAGACCACCCGCGTTATCAGAAAGCGTTCGCCTCAAGTTCACTAGATCTGATACTGAGTCGCTAATTAAATTGAGCATCGGTAAGGCTCGGACGAGCTCGGATATGCAAACCGCCAAT